CACCCCCCCCCCCCCCCCCCCTCCTCTTAGTGCTCTTGATCCTAACAATTAATTGTTCATTGATTCTCGTGGCATTTGGATCGCTAGAGCTTTGAAAATGATACAAATTGGTTCATTTCATTGCTAACGTTGTCGTATAACTCTGACGAAAAAGCACTGCCTCGGGTAGCAGGGACCCTCCTCTCTGCCTTCCCTCCCATCTCCTTCCCAACTCCCTCTCTCCCGACTACCCATCGTTTCCTTCTCTCACTCACTATCGCTCCTCAACTTCCATCTTCATTTTATCTTCTTTAGCTTAGCATCCACGGCGGCCCACTTTCTCCATCTACGCCACGAAGAAGAAGAACTCGTGGCTCGATCCCTTCGACGATGATGAGGACCCCCAACATGCAGTACGACTTCCTCTTCACTGACGACAAACAAGAGGAGGACCTGAGGGCCCCTACAACTCATACAGCTTCCTCAAGTTCCCCATGGGCTTCGACATGGAGCTCGGCTGCCATGGTGCGAGGCAACGTGCAACGCTGCTGCTGCATCATGTCCGATGGCATCTACAAGAACTTGCTACTCTTCTCCGCCATCAAGGATTGTTATCGAGCGTTGGGCAAACGCCCACTTTAGTACGACAATGCTTCTCGTCAAAGAGTCGCACGATAGAGTTAGTAATGGACTAACTTGCATCATTTTTCGACACTATAGAGACCCAAATGTGACTTGAAAGTTTAGAGATGCAGATGTAATAAGGAGATAACTAAGAGGGTATATGTGATTTTTCCCAACCCCAACCCCAACCCGAAACTGCTGTTTAAACCATCCAACTCGTTACTTTGTCATCTAATATTTAAGTGACAGATCACACGCAAGTCATTTTTAATACATCGTAGTCTATCACTTAAATAAGAGACAGCTTTTTAAAATATAAACTGATTTCATTCCAAGCCCCGTCAAATCCACCATAAACATTGAAGCGTCAGATCAACCTCATCTCATTCATCAAACTGCTTGATGATCAAACCATTCATCAAGCGTCAGATGCTATAATTAAAATTCATTTTAATTAATAGCATCTAGTGTCAACCCAGTGTGGAAATGGACAACGAGATGTCAGACGCAACACAGCTTTCGGTATGTCAAAGTTCATAGGTTTTGCACATGTACAACTTAAGTTTTAGTTGCCAAATTTCTCTAGAAAGCAATAAGGCCCATCATTGAATTTTGTAAAAAAAAATAATATCTTTAGTTGACTCAAACATATTAATTTATTTTATTTATAATAGCTAATAAAGTCTCTCTCTCTACCTCTCCTGGCATCACTATAACTAATTTCCCTACCTCTTCTAATCAGATCATCTCTAGATCTTCCTGGCATACGGTCAATCATTTATCCATATAACTGCATTAAAGTCCCATCTTCAGATTTAAATGGATCTAGAAAAACAAAAACAAGACTTCAAATCTGGCAATAAAAACTTGCAAAAGCCTAAGTAGCATCGCTCATATAATAATTAGCAGTCCCCTTTACAGGTCTCATAGAAAAGTTAGTTATCAGTTCTAAGAAACACAACAAGACCTTTCATCCATGGTAACTTCAACAGACCAAGTCAAAATTAGTGTATCGAAATCTATCTACATGCAGAATGAAATGGACTGCTTATCAGATTGTGCTGGTCTGTAGTTTCCCGTAAAACATTCTTAAGCAGTGAGAAATGGTGCAGGAAGACTAGCATCCTTTGCTGTGAGCCAAGGTTTCTTTGCATTATTTTGGTCATGATAGAGAACCATATAGCTTTGATATTTGTTCCGAATGCAAGCGCTCACCTAAACTTAAGCACCACCAAGATGTGGGAACATCTGTTGCAGCACCCGGGGGAGATTCAACACTATCTCTGCATATGCTGAAAATATAGAAGGGAAAATAAGCAAGCTAGAATATGAAGCATTCACGGTGTTCAGAAAAAGTCGAAGCACTCGGATACAACATACCTTCTGGCAAGCTCATAGTTCTGAGAGCATCCTCAGCATAGGAAAGACGAGATGGAATAGATTGAGCTAGTGCAGGCCCACTTTCTTTTCTATCCACCGCTAAAATCTTCTTAGAAGGGTGTACAGGCCATGCCAAAACCCTGATCCTACTTGGCAATATAGAAACAAGGTCGGCATATCTGAGACTGACAGTCACCTTGCTGCACAAGAAAAAGAAAAATAACTGATAAAAAATTTCTACAATTTGATCAACAACGACAAAGCATAGTTACATCAGAGCATCACGTATTCCTTCACAAGGGACATAAAAAGAAAAACCACAATTTGCCACAATGAGGTCCAATTTATGATACTTGCCAAATATGGATGATCAGGAAACAGAACTGTGAAAAAAAGGCTAAAACCCTCTCATCCTGTGATTCTGCACTTCTAATAGCCTGAGCAAGCATTTTTAGTCAATGACCATCCTCAACCTGAACCAAAGCTGCCACAAATCCAGTGCTCAAAAAATTTTCAATAAACACATATATTGATGACCTTCAATGTTTCTTCTAATGTAGCTCTGCCCTCATTTATGCTCCAGCAGATGCTTTTTCACTTTCATTATCAATTGATTATGTGATGGCCATCTAATCTAATTGTAAGACATGGTTTTCCAAAATGTGAATAGACAGAGTAGAAATATTGATATCAATTTCAAGTGCTAAAGCTACATTATATGAATAGATGTATGCACAACTTTCTTTGGATTTGACATGGTCATCTGCATGCTTGTGACCTGTCAGTAAATTTCCTCTCTGCACCAACTAAATTGGTGAATTGGCATCTCATTGTGATAGGGCAGTCAACTGAACAAGTATCGGGGGAACTCATGTTCAAAAAGTTTCATCTTCATATTAGCTTCTCATCGGCAAGTTATCTGAGCTTGAAGACTTGAACTATGAACTTGGGTTTAATACAAAAAATAGCCAAACAGAAATCAACCTAGCTCTCATGAGTGCTCATTTTAGGTAAAAGAAATATGGTATTAGAGTTCTGTAGATACGCTTGTCATCTTTGGGAGCATATTTCAAAGACAAGGCTTTGGATTCCATAGAACAGGGACTAAATTTTGTAGTACTGCAGATCTTAATAACTCCTTTCTCCATCAACACATCTTTCTCTAGGTTGTAAGAGACTAAGTGGGTACTGGGCGTGCAGGATTTATTAGCAAGGATAATTCAGACAAATTTTGAAGGCATGCTTTACAGTCTTATTAGGCACAATGAGATTAGTAATTTTCATCATATAATTAGTCATAACACATGATGATTAATAACTTCAAAGTGATTCAATGCACTTGGTTGGCATACTGCATAAAGAAAATCACAAAACAAAGTCTATGAGGTTGCTTGTAAAACTATGCATAAATTGAAGAGTTATTTGGCACGTACCAATCAAAGTCCTCCAATACAAATTCAATTAAGTTGTAAGAAAGGCTATGAAATAGTTCCCCAATTTGGTTTCCATATAGCTCCTTGATAAGGCGAACCTAACAAATCCAGAAATTTTAAACACAGAGGAAATTCTTTATTAATAAAAGGTTTACAGCATGTGAAGAAGAGTTAAACTTAGCACATATAATTTGGGAGGAAATAGCATCAACAAGAAACATAAAATTTGCATGAGTACTCGGCATGAAACCTGACAATGACTATTATCCAATAATTCTTATAAATTATAATACACTTTCAAAGTGAATATGTACAGATACTACACATGACTGGCTGGTTCCACCATGATAAAAACAATAAGGTAATAAGTTTAGCTTAGATACATCAAGAACAAAAGATAAATTGCAAGTTATTAGACCAATTTGCTGCCACATCCAGATAGTAAAATCAGAATCTTAACACAACATATATTGTTCCTTTGTTCCATATTAGAAAACACCAAACAGATTTTCATGATTAACTTTGAAGTATATTGTACATCTAAAGAGAATATCACACAGAGAGGAAGCAAATTTTGCAAGTGTTTCTGGTGCTCAAACTTCTTTTTACACTAAATAGTGACTGCATTACAAATAATGATTTCCTAGAGAAAGGCAATCGACATTTATTGCTTCAATAGTGTACAATGCTTGTGTCAAGTCAGAAATTAAAAACCAAGATACGGTTTCAAAAAATCTTGCCTTATGAGTTAAAGGATCTTAAAATATTAAGTTGGGCCACAAGTGATACAGATAAATAACCAAGTGGTCATGGAACTTGATGCTCAGTCATAAAAAATAAACCTAGAAGTGAACATCTAATAACATGAACAAGTATCACCATTGTGGTGCAAAATATCAAACAACTGCCAACACAATCTATTGAGTTTCTTCAATAGGGTCATTTAAACAGAGAGAAAAGGGATTATCACAGCAGTAAATAAGGGATATTTCAATCTTTAAGGTTTCTTGTGAGTTTTGCTAGGTGGTAGAATACTTTGACAAGAAAGCCCACAAGACCCAGAGCAGGTCTCGACTGATATTTTTAATTTTTTGCAGTTTTACCCTACAATTTGACCCAGGGAAGGTCTTGAGTGCTCTTTCTAATTTTCTGCTGTTTTTCCATAAAATTTTCAGCAATATAATTAATTATTTTTTGCAGTTTTACCCTACAATTTGACTCAGAAAGGTCTTGAGTTCTCTTTCTAATTTTCTGCTGTTTTTCCCTAAAATTTTCAGCAATATAATTAATTGGTTTCCATTTGTTTTGATCCTTGGGAGGCTTATACTCTTCCTCGAACTATGGAAGCACCAATTTGGAGCACATTCCTAGAACCTGAGATAAAATCTTCTTATAAAACCAGTCCACATCTAAGAATCTCTCAAGAAAAGATATAATGAAAAACTAACCTAAAATTGCCCAGCACAGAGAAGTTGTAAGTCTACTGGTAGCATAGCTTTTTTGTCCTTGCAGTTCTCTCTTTACCATCATTTGTAGATACATTTCAGATGAAAAATGAAGTTTTTCTGATTCAAAATTGTAGTAGAGAATGCAATTTAGTTTTTTGTTCCATGACAGTTGGTTAAATTCAATCAGCAAAAGGAAAGATAAAACATGCCCCAACACAAAAGTGCAGTGTCTGCCACCTGTCAGCACCTTTTTGAGAAGGATGAATGATATATCATATCCAATGAGGAATCCTCTGGCAAAGCATATTAATACTTAGTATACCTAGATCTCAACACTTTGGAACCTTAACATATTTCCATCTTTGTGGAAATTCTCTAAAACATTAACTCATGATGATAATCTAAGCTTCTCCTCTGGGAAAAAACACATCTCGAAGTTTCTTTTTAGTATAAATATTGTTAGAGAAAAGAAACAACAAACTTATTGGCACTTTCTATACAAAGAACTCTTATCCTGACATAAATAAAAAAATGAATGGGTTAAAACCAAAAATATATAAATGAAGACAACAAACAACATAAAAGACAGTTAAACAAGAAACATTCTGAATTCTAATTGGACATATATTGAAGTTCTGAAGATTCTGGCTTGTCAATTAATTTAATCAACATAATCTTACCTGTTCTCTCCTCTCAACATACGACTGCAGAATTTCTCCAACATAATCTATGAATTTCTAGTCATGAATAACAAATATCAGTAGACAAATTCAATAAAAGATAAGCTAAACCAGTAGCTAAACCCACAATTGCATTAGAAGAGAGAAGGTCATTTTCTGCTTCCCGTATTGGGAGAAAGAAAGGAACTGTGTGCTCAATCACTGACATCTTTTCAAGAAATGATTTGCTTTCAAGCACACAATGGTATATTTCACAAGGTTCTCCTGCAAACGAGAAGTACAGGAATTAGTATTCCCAATTCTTCAAAAGATCATAAGAAATAAAAATTTATACAGTAAAATTAAAGACCTAATGAAAAAATTATAGGCATCACCAAGTGCATACTTCAAATTACTTTATATTCTAAATAATATTGCTATGTAAACTTAAATCTAGTTCTTCAAAAGATCCTAGACAAACAATGCCATCAAAATACAAGGGTCCAATAAACAAAATAATATGCATATGTAGCTACAGTAGCTGATTGTTATATCTAAATTTCTAAATTACAAAGTTATGTCAACATCACAAATGCCTAGCTACAATGATATAGCTTAGTAATCAAAGCAACTAGTCTATTACACTCCTACCTCAATTTATTCTCCTCTCCAAGGACAATCTCCTTCGCCAGCCACACTCCTGATATACAGCATTGAGAAAAGTTAACGAAAAGGCTTAGAGGAAAGGGGACCATTGGGAATTTTATTTTAGGTGATGTGACTAAATCCTACAGGACCCGAAGAAGGTAGGGGAGGTGGTAGGATACACATCAGACTTTTCTTTTAAGAAAATTCGGTATGTGAAATCGGGAACCCATTCCACTATAAGATTAAAGTCAATTTAGAGGCTCTGATTCTATTATTTCCACATTATTTAAGACAAATCTAATACCCTTTTAATTGCAAAATCAACCCAGGCTTCCTACCTAGATTTTCAAAATCAAGGTATGCAATTATGTACCGTACCGGAGTTTCGACATTTGCTCAATATGGTACGAAATCGTATATATATATTTATATAAAAATATTTATATATAAAATATTTTTATAAAAGGTGACGTCGTGTCGCCTCGGCAACGTCCGACGCGACGTCGCCTTTTCCTTCTCCCATGCGGGGCGACATCGCCTCGTTTATATATAATATATATATATAATATTATATATTTATATATAAATATTCTTATAAAAAGCGACGTCGCGTCGCCTCGGCGACGTCGCCGAAAAAGGGACGTGGCGTCACCTCGACGACATCGCCGAAAAAGGCGACGCCACATCACCTTTTATAACATATTTATATATAAATATATATATAATTAATATATATATATATTTATTTATTTATTTATCGTTCCGTCCGGTAAGGGACGGTCCGTGTACCGGTAAGCTGACGGACCGGTACGCACCACCCGTACCGAACGATATTATTCGAAATTGCTTACCTTACCCAAAATACCCCTAGTGAAATCCAATGAATATAGTGGCATAACATAGCCCACGTGGTAAATATAAGTGAAGTCATATTTTAAATAGCCCAGAAGGTTATTTTAAATAAAGGTCATAACATAGCCATGGCATAAACTTTGCCCAGCAAAATAATAATAATTACAATATGGCTACAGCAAGATATGCAAAGATTTCTCATTTTCGACAATGTTAAAAGTACAATACCTGATATTTTCCAAGTGGCTACAAAGGAATCTCATCTCTAAACTATGCAAAACAAAAGTAGTGAAATCTATTCAAATTAAACAAGATCTACAAAGTATTTTCAATTTTTAACAACAATAACAATAGAAATACCTTATATTTCCCAAGTACTCTCGTGACTTAACTATATAAAAGTAGTGAGACACCTTTGAATCACCAAAAGCATACACCAAACTGATTTTACAAACAAATATTATTGCGAGATGAACCCTACAGTGATGTCCTGTTTACTAGACAGTTGCCCATCATTGTTTCCTAGAAATCAGCTGAAGAAACGTTATTTACTATCTAATGCATTCAGGCCAAATACATAATGCATCCATGCTAATTGAGTAATGTGGACATTCACCTCTTTCCACTATCTCCTGCACAACTTGTTAAGTGAATCTAGCTTCATCATTTGTTCCCATATAAAATTTAAACTAATAAAAAATGTTAGGTTTATGACAA